TGACTTGATCACATTTATAATAAGCAAGTAGAGTAAAGTCCAGAGCAGTAATACATATACTTGGTGCTTGAATAGGGCCAATTGTACAACGCTAAAAACAATTGAGAGCCAGATCATCTAGGAGGAATAACGTAATCAGAAAAATTTGAATGATAATTGGGAATCATTTAAGAACCTTACTAGATACCCAAAAAGCTACAATCCCTCAGTTGAGGAAGGAGGGCCATGTTGGTTAAAAAATTGGCCTGGTTTAGAGGCAAAGTGAAGGCAGCTATTGAAAAATATATAACAAAGGAGAAGTTAATAGTAATGAGTATATATCAGGAGTTAAGAATTGTAGGAAATTGGTAAGGGAAGCCAAGAGACATTAAGAGAAATCTGTGGCCAGCAGAGTTAAGGGACAATAAAGAGGAGTTTTTAAAATATGTTAGGAACAAAAAGAATCCAGCAGTGATATTGGTCTATTACTAGATGAAAATGGTGGTAGAATTTTTGATGATAATACTGAAAAGACAGAAGTGTTCAATAAACATTTCTGTTCTGTATTTGAGGGGGGGGAAAGATTAGGTAGTCTAATCATATGGTGATAATACTTTCTATTCCACTAGTATCTCTGAAGGATGTTAAACAGCAGCTACTGAAGTTAGACATTTTAAAATCAGCAGGTCCACTGCATCAGGAGTTTTAAAAGAGTTGGTGGAGGAGCTTGCTCGTCCATTAATGTTGATTTTCAATAAGTTGTGGAGAACTGAGGAATTTCCAGAAGACTGGAAGAAAGCCAATGTTGTACCAATTTTTAAAAAGGGTAAATGGGCTGACCTGGGGAATTATAGGCCTGTCAGTCTAACACTGATCCCTGGCAAGCTAATGGAGCGGCTGATTTTAGGACTCAATTAATAAAGAATTAAAGGAAGAGTAACTAATGCAAATTATGCAAAATAGATCCTGCCAAACTAACTTGATTTTTTTTTTAAATAAGATTATGGGTTTGGTTGATATAGCTAATAGTGTTACCATGATATATACTTATCCTTCTCCAAAGATTTGACTTGGTATCACACGACATTTTGCTTAAAAAAACAAGAATGATATAAAAATAATATGGTAAACATTAAATGGATTAAAATTTGGCTAGCAGATCTCAAAATTTAATTGTAAATGGGGACTCGTCATCGAGTGGGTGTATTTCCAGTGAAGTCCTGCTGGAATCAGTTCTTGACCCTACACTATTTCAGTTTTATCAATGACTTGGAAGAAATTATAAAATAATCACTGATAAAATTTGCAGATGACACAAAAACTGGGAGAGTGGTAAATAATAAAGAGAATAGTTCACTGATTCAGAGCGATCTGGATCATTTGGTAAACTGGGCGCAAGTGAACAATATGCGTTTTAATGCAGCTAAATGTAAATGTATCCATCTAGGAACAAAGAATGTAGGCCATACTTATAGGATGGGGGACTCTATCCTGGGAAGCAGGGACTCTGAAAGAGATTTGGAAGTCATGGCGAATAATCAGCTGACCATGAGCTTCCCAGAATGATTCTGGCCAGAAAAGCTAATGCAGTCTTGGGATGCATAAATGGGAATCTTGAGTAGAAGTAGAGGTTATTTTGAAACTGGTGCGACCGCTGCTGGAATACTGTGTCCAGTTCTGGTGCACACAATTCAAGAACGATGTTGATAAATTGAAGAGGAGTCAGAGAAGATCCACAAGGACTATTAAAGGATTCGAAAATTTGTTTTAGGCTTGGTCTACACTGCTGCTTAAATCGATGTAAGCTACGTCGCTTGGAGGTGAAAAAATCACCCCCATAAGCGACCTAGCTTACGTTGACCTAACGTGGTTTCTACACCATGCTATGTTGGTGGGAGACGCTTTCCCGCCAACTTACCTTCTGCCTCTTGGGGAGGTGGACTACTGAAGTCAATGGGAGAGCACTATCTTCACCAGACCTGCTAAATCAACACTGCTGCATCGATCGATCAAGAGGTGACTTGATTACAATCTATAAGTATCTACATGGGGAACAAATATTTGATAATGGGCTCTTCAATCTAGCAAAAAAAGGTATAACACAATCCAGTGGTTGCTAGTTGGAGCTCAACAGATTCGGACTGGAAATAAGATGTAAATTTTTAACAGTGAGGGTAATTAACCATTGGAACAGTTTATGAAGAGTTTTGGTGGATTCTTCATCACTGACGATTTTAAATTCAAGATGGAATGTTTTTTCTAAAAGATATGCTCTCAGAATTATTTTGGGGAAGCTCTGTGTCCTGTGAGCACAATGATCCCTTCTGGCCTTGGAATCTGTGAACGAATTTCTACAAAACTTTCAACAGGAAGGCTGTGTGGGTCAGATGGAGAGAGAGCCCCCAGAATAGCCAATAGCCTAGTGGTTAGGGCACTCACCTGGATTATGGGAGACAACCCAGGTTCAAGTCCCTGATACAAGTTAGGCAAAGCAAGGACTTGAACCTTGATGTCCCACATCCCAGGTGAGTACCCTAACCACTGGGCTATTGGCTGTTCTGGGGGTGGGCAGGTCTTTCATTTGTCATGACCAGGGCCGGCTCTGGCTTTTTTGCTGCCCCAGGCAAAAAAGCCTCCGGCCGCCCCCCAGCGCGGCAGGGGAGGGCGGCCAGAGCGCCGGGGGGAGGGCGGCGAGCCCCAGTCGGGGCTCCGCTCTCCCCGGCGGCCAGAGCGCCAGGGGGGAGGGCGGCGAGCCCCGGTCGGGGCTCCGCTCTCCCCGGCGGCCAGAGCGCCGGGGGGAGGGCGGCGCAGGGCTCCGCTCTCCCCGGCGGCCGGAGCACCGCGCCACCCCCCTCCAGGTGCTGCCCCAAGCACAAGTTTGGTGGGCTGGTGCCTGGAGCCGGCCCTGGTCATGACAAATGTTGAAAGGTCTGTTTCATCCCAATGAGTAACTAGAAATTTTTTTGGAAACTCTTTCCATCCAGTTCTAGGCTACAGTTCTGGGCTGGCTAGTAAAGGTGCTTTACTTCCTGTGAATTAGTGGTAATTTTTCCAACTCTTTTTTCCCCTCCCCACCCTAATTTCTCTCACTCGTATGAATATTGAGCGTCTAAATTTTGATGCTTGATATTTGAAATCAAATTAGCGAGAATTTTTAAGATGCATCCTCACAGAGCTTTCGCAGTTCTGCCAAGCTTCAACTTTTCCAAGAAAGTAGAAGGCAGTAACTCATCATTCACAAGATAAATCAGGTCATGTGATTCCTAATAAACACAAAATGAGTTACAATCATGCAAAAATCTGATTACCTTGTTTTTGGCGGGATACGTGGACAGCATTGTTGTTTTTCTTTTTAGGAATGAAAGCTAAAAATCACTTTGATCTGGTAAACGTGGAAAAGAATGGGGAGGCAAACAGAAATGTGGGACAGGATACAAAACAATGAGTTGTTTAAAAAGAAAAAGACATTGATACTGGTGTTTCATTTACTCCAAGGATTAAAAAACTGATCTTTCAAATGCACTGAATGTGTTTTTGAAGAGTAGCTTCTCATTCCTCAGATTCAAAACACTCTGAAAGGCCCTGTTTCTGCCCAAAAAGAACACATTCCCTAAGGACTCAGGAACTCTTCTGGATTTTTTTTGTTCTGTTTTTTTCTTATTGGTTTTGAACAGTGACAAGATGATTATTAATACAGACAAGCCATAGTATTGTTAAATACAAATGCAGATACTTACCACATATAATGAAAACTTTTCTAATTGACAATTTTATCCTATATAAGTAGTTGGGATAGTGTTAACAATATGTGTTACTATTTGTAAGGGATGCCAAATAAAACTTAAGTTTTCTGAGACACATCTTGGTTAACATAATTTAATTTCATATTATCTTAAAGGATTTTTTAAATAGAAATGTTGCATCTTGAGTAACATTCCAGTGAAAATTATTAAGGTTTGAATAATTACAGCTATAAATGTAATAACTTGCTAGAACTGCATTGCTGTTCCTATAGAACATCATGCTCTACATTTAGATGTGCTCCTTGAATTCTCCAGCCAAATGCACTGAGGACTGAAGAAAATCACTGAGTATTGCTAATAAATCAGTTTTGTTCTTGGGTTGCTTTGTAGAAGCCATGAAAGAAGAACCTGAAGTACTCTTTGAGGATCTGTTTGAAAAGGCCAAAGCTGGAGAACCAAAAGCCCAGACGGAGGTAATTTTATACTTTTTGTCACTACTTTTTTTATACTCTTTAGAGGCCATTTATTGACTATAGATAAATAAAATAAAACGTTTGTTAGCTGTATCCGAAATCATATCTGCAGAGAGCACTGCAAACAGCTTTGAACATCTCTGAACACTGGCGAAACTTCATCCAGCATTGTTGTGGTTTAAAGTCAGAAAACGTTACTACACACTTCCAACTCTTGTGGAGTTCTCTTCCAAAAATGGTTCAGTTGAACCACATCCTCTGTTAGAATTTTAAATTGTTCAAAGTGAGATGATGCCAAATAGCTCCTTGGCCTGGAGAAATTTATATATTTATTTATATAGTCACAGCGCCTAAGAGCCGTAGTGCTGAATGAGGTTTGCATTTTGTTCCAATGGTGGTAAATTAAAATCAAAACAGTATCCAATAGTCATTATATGGACACTTCCCTCTTATCTCATTGTATTAGACACTGGACAAAAAACGAAATGACACTCCCTGCCCCAAGATGCTTACAATCTATAATTAACTTTCACATCTACCCCAAAGGCTGATAAATATTTTATTTTTAATTTATATCAGATTTCCCAGGTTCCAGTCCAGTATCAGCCTTTGGGGTAGATGTGAAAGTTAATTATAGATTGTAAGCATCTTGGGGCAGGGAGTGTCATTTGTTTTTTGTTCAGTGTCTAATACAATGAGATAAGAGGGAAGTGTCCATATAGTGACTATTGGATACTGTTTTGATTTTAATTTACCACCATTGGAACAAAATGCAAACCTCATTCAGCACTACGGCTCTTGGGCGCTGTGACTATATAAATAATGACTAATACTAGAGGAATGCTATAAACACAGTAATTCTGAGTTGTTTCAAGGTTTGCAAATGACTCAACAGCACCAACCTTGAGCCATTTGAAAATGTACAAAGTATGTTTCCTGGTGGATTAGTAAGGGCATTCATATATACAGGGTTGAGCTCTTTCTGTAACTTTCCTCATCTATGCTGAATAAATGCATTTTTAAAAACCCTTTAGGTACTGAAACTAGCTACCATTTGGCTGTTCAATTGCCTATGAGAATTGAGTCGATCTTAGTTCTGTCCCTGAAGGTATTTGTTAGCAGTTTTACGGTTTTTCTATACTAAAAAATTGCATCGATTTCATTAGATCAGTTTAAAATTCTAAATAAACCGATACAAACACCTAATGGAGTTGCACTTAAACTAGTTTAATCCTCACTTTAAATCACTTCTGCTAAACTTGTTAAATTACTGACTTAAATTAAATCAGTAGAAACATGTATATGGTCAAACAGATGTGCTAATTTAGTATAGATAAGGCCTGAACGACACTGAGACTGAACTGTCATCTCACCCTCACAAATGGTCCTTCTAAGCTGAGATGCAATGACATTTAAAAAAAATTGGAGGTGGGGGTCAGGAGTGAGAATTGAGTGCTACTGCACTGAGAGATATCCCAACAGAATAGTAAAATAATAATAATTATCTCTAGAACTGGTGCAAACATCCTGCACACTCTCACCCATATACTTCAGACCTCGTATTTGAGGGCAGCCTCAAAAAGGGATCAGTCTGAAGAGTTCCTAGCCTCTGAAACAGCAAACACCTTTGTGGGTAATGGTATTTTGAACTTGGAGGATCCTTGCCACCAGAACCCTCAGTTTGGTTCCAATTCCAGCAAAGAACAAAAACCTGTAATTTCTAGTTGCTTAAGAAATATGTAAGCCAAAATAGTAGGCGAGTAAAGCTTGTGGAGACACAGAGAAAACTAACGTGTTGATGATTTGTCCATTCTGGCTGACAGCAAAGAGGAATTGGTAAATATGGTATCAGAATGGACATCTGTTTGAAGATCATGATTTGAAGGTGAACCCAAAGAAAACTGAAGTGCCTATGCATGTAGGCAGATGGAAGAAGAGAAGCAGTTGACTGAAGTTTCAGGAGAGAAGCTGAATCAGAAGAATTTGTGTACTTGAGAACTACACAGTGCCATCCTGAAGAGATCTTGAAAACTGAAAAGAACCCACTGTGCCTGGGTGACCGTGAAAAAGGTGGTAGGAGTATTGTGGAACCAGCAATTAAGGAACAAACTGAAGGCAAAATTGTATCTTGTGTGTGTTTATCCCTGCCTGCTGTATGGTTTGGAAACAGTAGGTCTTATGGAGATGGGGGAGTGGGGGGGGAGAAGACACTGGTAGTAGAAAATAATATACTGAGGAGAATGACAGGCAAGCAGAGCGTAGACAGTGTACATGGAAGAAATTAGGGGCAAGATGAACTTGGGACTCCTAGCAATAGGCTGGACATATGATAAGAATGGGAGAAGAACAACCATTAAAGAAAGCATGGGAGGAAGAGGACAGCAAGAAAGGATATATTAGACTGAGGATACAATAAGAGACTTTAAGGGAAATTTGAAGAGAAAAGACTGGAACTCCAAGACAGAACACAGGGGTTTGGAAGGAGTGACCCAGAGTCGTGGGCACGGATGACCCTGTGTAAACGGGAACAGGAATCATGAAGTGTAAGAAATATATAAACAGAACTCCTGTGTTACTGCTGGAAAATCCTTCTCTGTTTTCTTCTATAAAATCAAAACCTGTTTAAATAACAGCAAGCCACAGTCCCCGTTAATGAGATTCTGGACTAATAAACTGGCTATCATCCTAGGAGTTTATTAACCTAGAATATGGGCTTTGCATTCTTGTCAGGAAGATGTTACCGTTGCACTGCAGCTTTAAACATTTTTAAATGAAAGTTGAGCAATAACAAGCAAAATGGGCTGTCAAAATGCAGAGACGATAATTGGTTTTAAAAAAAACAAAACCTGAAATCTCTCTACCTTTCCTGGTTCTCTCCACCCTTATTCCCCCTCCTCTGATGCCTACATGTCAATAAGGCTCTTGTCTTGAAGATAACAGTATGTTTTCAAGTTTAATTGTGTTCGTCTCAAAATAAACAAAAAAAATAGTTAGGAAGTTGGAGCTCTATTGTCCAGTGGAGAGGGACAAGAGGAAGGAGGAAAACGAGATTAAAAAAAAATACTTGTTTAAAATATTTAAATAGATTCATTCTTGGCAGTTTGATAGCCAAGAGTGTGTCCATTATGTGGGTGGGGCAGGGTGGAGAGTGTGCATCTTCAGCAGAAGTGAGTGAAAAGCTGAGGTGGTGGTATTTGTAGCTTGCTTATGGCCTAAAAAATTGACTAGAAAAATATCACTCAATTCAGGAACTTGGACAAATCACTGTAAGGTTATACTGAAATAACCCTGCACTCTGTGCGTCTCAGACTCTGTTACAGGGATTTGCGTACAGTACTTTTATGGAAAAATACCTGTATAGTAATTATGCAGATGAGACACCCAGAGTCAGAGCTGCATAATGGAGAAGAGGCAGTGATGTCTGTTACTGTACAGGGTCTCTGCACTCTTGACTGGTTGTGACCACTCTATTTCAGTTAGCAGAACACAGCGATATGAGGGAGTGAGCGCTCATGTTAGAGGAGTAACCTGAAGATGTACACTGTTAATTTGATTCTAAGTACCTCTTTCTGCCTCCCAGTTTTAGCTCACGATCTAAACAAAGAGCATCCTCAAGTTAACATTAAAACCACCTGATAAGCTGGAATGAGCAGGAATGGATATTCTATAATCCCCTCGAGTCAAAAGGCTTCTAGCCATTTTAAATTTTGGTAACTTTAAAATGAAAATATTTGTGCAAAAGTTTTATCACCAATCTCATTTTAAAGCCACTGTTGCACAATACTCATTCAGAAAGGACAGATCACAGCCTAGCATATAGCATCTTTCAGTGCAGTTTCATGGAAAGACTAAATATAGTTGCTCTGGTTTTTCTGTTAATTAAAAAAAAACCCATTAATTCCAAGAGCTTATGTATCTTTAGAACCAAAATAAGGGTAAAATGTTCTCTTCAGAAGGTAGCTACTTACAGATGCTGCTACTGTACCTTAAACAGAAAGCTCTATCGCAAAACCCAAGTATTAGGCTGTGGTTCCTTGTGAAATAGTCATTCTTATGGCTGATTCCATGATTTGTGTGGTAGATATCAGTTTCTGGGACTATGGGATATGTGTAGAGGAGCTGTATTAAGTGCTGCTGTTTTGGGATGGCTATAAATATAAACACACTGTAGGAATAGCTGTTCTTGGGACAGGTTTTATTGACACAATAACTTCCCTATAAATCTTGCTAATGCTGTCTACGGTGATGACAAACTGCCAGTATGGTACTTGTACCTAAGCTACATTCTTGACTTTCTGCCATTTACTCTCTTCTGTCATCTGCTACTGCATCAATGTGCTTTTCCACTTCATTGAGTTGAAATATGCCATGGTAGTGATTGTACACTATCAGTTTGGTTTACTTGGTCTGAGTTTCTCTTGCCTATTTGCATCTTTTCTGGTAGCTTCAATTTTATGTAGTGTACATTTAATCACAAAGGTCCTCATCCTGCAACTGGATCTGTGTGGATTGGTAGTGTAAGAATCCACCTGTGTCCATCCAACCTGAGAATTGGGGCCCAAGTCAGACCTGCTAATCTGCCAAGAAAGGTCAGGTTTTTTGTAAGGTGGTGATGTTTAGCACTGCAGAATCATTCAAAAGTTTAATTAGCAATTCAGTTCTACAGCATAGATTCAGTATTTTGGGGTTCATAATGGTATACTCTAGGGGGTTGCATTTATTTTCCTTTCATGTGTAACCCTCAACATGATGATCTCCCCCACACTCAACCATCATGATGGAGGGTAGGCCAAATTTGAGTGAGTTGCACTGCAACCCCATGAGCCAGGTCACAACTCCGCTCATACAAAGTTGGTCCAGTCAGGGGGGCGGACCTGCGGTGCAACCCTGGAGGTTCCAATGCCTGGACTGGAGAGCCAAGCCCAGCCAGCCTCACAGAACAGGAGCTGCTACTATGAGGTGAGTGCGGGGCAGGACATGACTGAAACCACCCCAGGGCCTGCACCCCCAAATTATGTACTGGGTCACGACAGGCCGTAAATATTTTCAAATGTGTCCTGACCCCAAAAAGGTTGAGAACAACCATCTCAAGGCCCTCTACAGAGATTACTTCTTCTAAATTCCTGTCCATCACTGATACCTTGCTATGGCACTTCATTTTGCATTTTTAAAGTTGATCTAGCTGTATTGTATAAAAATGAATTAGCTTAGCATCTGCTCCTTCTGTCTAGCATTAGTAGCGTTCAATGTTGCATTTAGCCGTATACTACCTAATGTTAACTCATTTGTTTACTTAATCAAATGTGCCAGAAATCAATCATTGCTTCTGCTTGTATCTTGTTCTGGAAGTTGATCCCTGATCTCTTGCCAGTTTGCTGAGGACAACTTACAACTGTGTGCCTTAATGTTGATTCAGCCTATTTGACCTCCTCCTTCACAGATATAGCCTTCACTAGCTGAGATAAAGAGAACAGAAGATATTTAAATAGCTATTGAACTAACTAAGGAATTCTGTTTGCTCGCCATTCTTTCCAGATGGGAAAACACTACCTGAAATTAGCAGAAGAACAGGATGAAGAACTCAACAATTGTAGTGCTGTTGACTGGTTGATTCTTGCTGCTAAGCAGGGTCGAAGGGAAGCTGTCAAACTGTTGCGGAGATGCTTAGCAGACAGAAGAGGTATGGGTTCTTTAGGAGCTTTAACTCTTATATTTTTAGTCTGTACTTTAGCTACAAATAATCATCCATTAAAATATTGGGGAGACAGGTTAAAATATACTTTAAAATCTGGGTATATTTGGAGCAAAATTATTTGAACAGCTGCTGATAGAATGTTGGAGTAGTTAATTAAACGAATAACACATGATTTTGCATATAGAAGTATTAGTGTCAATCATGTACTTGAATTCCTTCATTAGATTCTTATTTCTTACCAAATCTCATTGAAACTCTTCATCCTTGCCTTTAAGGTTAATTTCACACCCCGCCTACATATCTGCTGTTGTTCTCTTCTCCTGTCCCTCTCATTCTCCCTTTATTCTTCTCAATCCTCTCGCCTAATTGGTTCCCTCTACCATATTCTCCCATTTCAAGATTCACGCCTTCCTTCATCCCACTTCCTACGCTTGGAATAGTCTTCCTCATGTCTGCCAAGTATCTGATCTCGAAACCCATTTCTTTACATAATACTTCCTACCTTGTTCTCATCACCAGTGCTCTATCAATGTCATCTTTTACCTGAATTGTTGTCCTTGTGTCTTGTCTTCAGGCAAGATTACAGACTCTTTGTGGCAGGGAACATATCTTATGCAATCCATAAAGTGTACGGTACATTTTAAGATGTGTATTTTTTGTTGGTAAACCCTGAACACAGAACAATGTAGGAAAAATTTAGTTATCTTGAGAAGATGACATGTGAATCAGCTTGTCCAAAAACTTAGAACTAAAGTGGGGAAAAAAAGAACAAATTGTGAGCATGTCTATCACTTCTTCCCGAGATGTGGGATGATAATATCTAATACACTTTCTTTTCTTGAGGCATCACTTCTGAGAATGAGCAAGAAGTGAAGAAATTATCATCTGAGACTGATCTGGAGAGAGCTGTGAGAAAAGCTGCCTTAGTTATGTATTGGAAATTAAATCCAAAGAAGAAGAAGCAGTTAGCAGTTTCTGAACTGCTGGAGAATGTTGGGCAAGTTGACAATGAAGGTAGGCATCCAGTACCCCAGATACGAAACTGATCCTATCTAAAACGAAAATTAAAAGCAGAACACAACGTAAAACCTAAATGACCATATAAAAAAATAAAATAAATAAGTGTGTAACCCATTCATGGAAAAATAGTTGTGATAATGACCTTTATCAGCTGCTCACTCTAACTCATTAAAGCTGATTCATATGCTATCAGGAGTTTTGCTTATGCATGGTGGCTCACTTAAGTACCAATGAGAACCACCAAAGATTAGAAATGACTAACCTTTTAATCAAAACTCAGTGTTTTTGAAAAACACTTATTTACTTTGATTTTATCAGTAACAAAGCACTCTGAGTATCTTGCCAGATATTTGAAGTTACTAACTTAAAAATGCATCACAAAGTAAGTATATACTAATGATCTAAACACTATTTCTCTTTTTAATGCTGTAGCTGAAATCAAAATGTACTGTTACGGCCACTTTTTCTCCACTTTTTCAAAAAAGTACATGATGAAATGAGTTCTGTTTTTAGTCTAATCTTTGTGTTGCCACTCAATCTATGCAGTTCTTTCAAGGAATTCAGCAGATTCTCACTCAGTGTCATGTTGTTGCAAACAGGTGGTGGACCCTAAGGATCACAGCTGCTCTGGAGGCAGCTTTGCTTGTCCCTAAGTAGAGCCTTCTTAGAGGTTTTCTGCCACAGTAGGACCTGGTAGCATATGCCCTTGTGTAAACCTTTATCTCATTGGTTTGAGGTGCTACTGTCCTCTATATTTTTGCTACTTTAGCTAATGACATTTGTTGGAGTTTGTTCACTTAATGACTACTTTGTGAACTTCTGTTATATAGCAGATGGTGAAAAACAACCTGGCCCAGTTCCAAAGTCTGTACAGAAGCAAAGAAGAATGCTGGAACGATTAGTAAGCAGTGAATGTAAGTGCACACATCCCGTTTGAAATGTAATGACCATGATTTCATTTTGCTTTGTTTTGCTAAATAATTTTGCACCAGCTGTAATTTTTTTCTCAACTACAGGATGTTAACCTAATACGTTTTTATCTTCTGATTACACTGCATTTAAGCTTAGCATTTAATGTACACAGCTCTTCAGCTTCTGTTACCTAGCTGTAACTGTTAAACCACACCCCCTCACTGAGGATTTCTCTCTAATATTTGTCTCCTACATAAATACTTGATTTAAACAGACCTTCCATACCCCACCAGCCCCAAAAAAGCTGTCCTTGTGATTAGCTGTCTTCACCCATCACTCAAGAGACCCAGATTCAAGCTGTTGGACTCCAGGCTTAAATTTAAGGAAGAAACGTTTCTTCTTATGACCAAGTAAGATAGATTTTTCCTGGCGTCTGAAGGGCACGTCATCCAGCCCTGCCCAGCCGAGAGAGGTCACAGTGCTATTCGGTTCTGAAAAGGGAGGAGCAGCAACTGAAGACACATCAAAATTATTACTGTCTTGGCTCTTGCTGAGGAGGGAGAGCCTCATTCACTTTTTAACTGGTAAAAATGCTACCGCTAGAAGGAAGCTGTGTCTTCTATGGGTTAAAAAGTTCTGGCTCGACTCTTATGACACCTGTAGAAGAAAACTAACAGGTTTTAAAATAAAAATAAGCTTAAGCTTTAAAATTCTGATCTGGGGCATGAAGATTCCAAATTGTTGCGAGGGAAGAGGGAAGGACCCGACTCCGAACTAGTTCTCTAAATCAGGACTGCTACTTGCTTAGTACATGAGATAGAAAGGTAGATAAAAATGATCAATGTAGAGGGAGGTACTCTGTTTAGCCTTTCTTGCAGTACAGGAACAAAGAGATTCCTGACTCTATGAAAAGGCAGCAAATTTAAAATGATGAAAGGAAATACCCTCCTCACTCTCATCCATTTGTCCCCACAAAGCATTAAGCTGTGATACTTTATTATCGAGGACGGGGTGTCATAGGGTTGAAAAAAGGGAAGTAAAAATTACACTAGCTAGGATTTAAAAACAAAACACGTTTATAAGGGATATCAACCTTCCTCCTTCAGGATGCAAGGCAACAGTCCATTGCTTGGTGTTAAAAAGATAATCCCTTCCCTTCATTCCCCTTCCGGGTATGTAGGTATGTTAATGCATAATTATGAATTATGTGGTTTACCTCTTCCTCTGAAGCTTCTGATATGGGGACTGTCAAACAGGATGCCAGACTGCATGGAGTCTTGGTCTTGATCCAGCATGGCAATCCTGTATTCCAACCATTGCGCCGCAGCTGCTAATCTTCATATACATTACCTATTTTTTTTTTGAAAAAGGAAAATGTGAAGAAACGATAGGAGGATTTAAAGACTGAAAACGAAGATGGCCAAGGAACATAGTTACAAACAATGCATATTGTACTGAGTGCATTGTAGTAAACCTAAACTTCAGTTAAGGCCATATACAGAACCATTCTAATTCCATTTTCATACTAATGTATAAAATGTAAAAATCCATATAAAGTCAGTCTCACTCTTTTTTAGGGCTGTTTTAAATGTCCTACAGTTTAAAAACTAGTACTATATACTACTAAAACTTCCCAAACTTCAGGTTGAGATTCAATAAGTGTCACTGTAGTCCTCTCCTTCCAGGTAGCTTGTGACTGATCAGATATATGTGAGACTCAGCACTGAAAGTAACTTTCTCAAGATGAACTGGGGCTTTTTTTACATTAACTTGTCATATTTATGAAAAGTTCTATAGTATGGTGCATGTAAGAGAGAGGAAAGGACAATACTCTGGATAGAGATGGGAGTCAGGCCTGAATTTTATTCCCAGCCTTGACAGACTTTTCATATGGACTTGAGCCACATAGAGCTTAGTGTGACCCAATTTCCATTTCTTGAAAAAATGTTTAGGGCCAAGACTGCCACATTTCCTTTTTCTCTCTCTCTCCATTGGAAAGTGTGCTGTGGTCTGAGTTCGTTGGAGAATCTTCTGCTTTGGCATCTATTGGATGATGCTATTGCACATTCCATCCCTTAGCTGCTGATCTTCTGAATCAGTGCTTCGCCTTCATTCTGATAGCAAATACATGCAAAACAAGCCACTTTGTTCTGAATCCTTCAGCAGCTCATAGTGTTGGGGGGGGGAGGGGAAAGGGGGGTCAGTAATTTTCTGAAGGCTTAAATGGCTGATGAAATAACAGGAGGGTAAATGAACCTGCATGTTAAGTGTAGGCAGAAATTGATGTGCACATTTCTTTTTTTACTGCAAATGGGGGAGGCAGGGAATTTGTCATAACCAAACTGAAGAAAAATCTGAATAATAAAGTGGAACCTACAACATATGCTTTTAATATCAATTGAAGAGAGACTTGGGTGTCAAGTTACTAATGGCATTTAAAAATGAGAAGTTTTCATCAAACACTTAAAGTAGGAGGTGGGCTGTTCTCTCCTCTCCAGAGATGGAGTTGGCTGTCCATGCATGAGTAGAAGCAGCTATTACAAGCTAATATTAACTTCCCTAAAAAG